AACTTACGAGCACATCGGACTGGTATGCGGTACCGAACTGGAATTCGACCAAGAGTGATTCGAAGGATCTATTATTACCAAGTAAGCCGGGAACGTTCTTCCTTTCAGCCGATTCGAACAATGACTTCCTGTTCAACAAGGTCACACCAAGAAGTCTTTTCCATGAAGCTCTAGGAATCGGATCTGATGGGCAGAGAATCGTCACCTACTGGAACGATGCTGCCTATGGTCTACCATTGCCAACCACGGCAGGCTATGCGACATTCAAGGTCGAGAGTAGCAATGAGAGTCCAATTCTTACCAATCTCACGCCTGAGATCGTCTACAAAGACATCCTCGGGTGTACTAGCAATGAAAAGTGTCTCGTGTACAACAATGGGACCAACGTGTCCAAGCTAACAATCCCATCCACTGCTGGCAAGTACGTCATGGAAGTCAAAGAAAACGGCACAGTCTCGTTATCACCCACATCAGCTAAGTTGAGTAAGACATTCGAGTACACCTCCTGGACAAGTGGACACCAGGTTGTTAGCGAGGCACTCACGTCGGAAGGTTCAGACCCTTCTGCACCGATCAAATTGGAATCCAATAAGACGTACATGATCACCATCGATGCCGTACTTCGTTGTGACAACTATGAGCAGGCACTTGTAGGATTCACGAGCGTGCCAACTCTCGTAATGGGTGTCGAGACAGCTACAATCATTAAAGCAAGCTTGAATAATCCAGTGCCAACAACGACAATAAGTGGCACGAACATATTCACATCAGTACGCCCTGTAGATATGAAAATTCAAGTCATACGTTCTGGAGACACCACGATCGACCATTACTTCACTCGACTGAAGGTAAGCATCATGGAACTCTAAAGCCAGAGTGAAAAGGAAGTCATGACTTCCCCGTTTTTTACTTCGTACGACTTGGTAATCGTACATGAAACTTGTTAGCTTTGGTAGCCTTGGTAGCCTTGGATTCAATGTTCCACTCAGTCAACTCGTTCTGGTCATAGGCAACACCATCGACATAAATATCAATCGTGCCATTAATCAGAAACACACGATGTCCCTCGATATCATAGATCTCATCGTTAGGGTCGTGCAATACGTCAAACTGGGGGTGACATACGGAATACTTGTTTTCATGGCATGCAATCTTGAGAAGTCGTTCAATGTCAGGTGAATAGAACGACACATTCGGAGGATTATAGTTTTCATAGTAATTTCCACTGTTAGGATCTTCGACAAATGAGTTAATAATGTCATGCACGTATCGCCGCGCGATCTGCTTTCGATCCGATGTCATCCAGGAATCCATTTCTATTTATGAATACATTATTTCATATTAATTTATGTTGGACTGATCGTGATGTCACTACCACTATCATCCTCGGATTCATTCTTCACATTGTAAACACATAGACAGCTACAGCGATCTTTGCATTTCGAGTCCACCACCAGTTTGTGATTCTTCCTCTTACTCATCCATTTCCATATCCCATTCAACCATTGAATAAAGCGGTTCATTTATGGATGAGATCAAGGAACTACGCAAGCCAGCAAAACGAAGAGGCGCCACTCGAGTGATTATCAGTGGGTTCAAACGAAACATATACTTCATCGATCTTATCGATTTCTATTCCAAACAACACAAATCGATACAGGAAGTGTTGGGAACACAAAAGAGTACTGGATTCTACAAGAATCGTGGATACAAGTATGTCCTTGTATGTATTGATGGATATTCGAAATACCTGGTGACTCGGAAATTGAAAAGCAAGAGTGCTACAGAAGTCACTCATGCGATGAAGGATATCATTCAAACATATGGTGAATCATCAAAGCATATATGTGCTCGGATCGAGGTACCGAGTTCACCAATGCGATCTTTCGTACCAACATCTTGAACAAGTATGATATCACCATGTATCACATGGATTCAGCGAATAAGGCAGTACTAGCTGAACGAACAATTCGAGATATCAAGGAACACATCATGGTTCCTTCATTCCATTCATTCAATCAATGGAAAGGTGTATGGTTTGATTTGATCGATGGTGTAGTTCGTAGACACAATGCAAGGAAGAACAGAGACATCGGATATACACCCAATGACATTTGGTTTAACTACAACAACAACGATATCTTGTACATGGAGAAAACAGAACCATCCAACATGACAGCAAAGGACACAACACCTCAATTCAAGGTGGGTGATTATGTTGGAGTGACACGAAGACCTCGCATTCTGGAAAAACGATCATTGACGAGTAAATGGTCTCAGGACTTGGTTGAAGTTGTTGACATTGACGATCACATCATGCCATTGATATACGAAGTGAAGAATGTGGAAAGAGATAGCACACAGAAGTGTTATGATTGGGAACTGCTGGCAAGCAAATGCAAACCACAACCAGCACCACCCATCACTCGATCCAAGAGTGGTAAAGAACCCAATGCATTGAGAGAGGCAGCAAGATCACATCGACCCATTACGAGCACCCAGAAGAAGAAACAGAAGAAGCAACAACCTCGCCCAAGTGTTTGAAAACGATCGTGAATGCAGAGATCATATTACTCTCACTTGTCCATTCGATTCCATTTATCAGTTTGGTATGGGAAAGGGTCACAAGATTGTTGAGTGTATCGATGAATGGCATATCGATCAATCACACACCATCCATTGAAACACTCACCTTATATCCCTTACCCACAACCGATTCGATGGAATCACAATGTTTGAATAGGACATCATTCTCATTGTAACATGGAATCGATGTGATTATGAGATATAAAGCAGAAGATAATTCGAATTGACATTGATTATTGAATGGTAGAGTGGATGTGTGTGTATGTTCAAACAGTGTGGCATTATTGACTTTCACAAAACACCCAGAAGGTATCGTCCATGAATATTGAGGAACGCCATCCACTGTCTCACGCACGAGGGCATGTTTGTCGTCGTTCTCGGGCATATTGATGAGCATGTTATCGAGCTTCTTGAAGGTGTAATTGTTTCCATTGCTGCTGAATATGTACGACATTGATTCATTCAATTTACTTCGGTTGATTTCGTTCATAGCATTTGACATACACACCCTTCAGATAAGCTCCATTCATATTCGAATATGTGAACATGTTGAATGAGAAGCGAGCCAAATATAACACCACTGTGGAGAAGAACCTGTACAAGCTATTGGCAATATCGACATATAGCAAGCTCGTAGACACTAAATTGAAACGAATGAAAGTGAAGTTCTCTAACACATGGAATGAACGCGAGGCCATTATTCAGAAACATGGATATGACATGATCGCAGAGAGCACCATGTATTCCGGAATTTAATTAGCATCAATCGGAATACACCGGTGCGTAAAGTCGAGAAGCCATTCTTCATTGGATTTGCCATTCTCGACATGTCCAAATACATTATATACGCTTTCTACTACAATGTGTTCAAAAACACATTCGATGGCGTGGAATTACTGGGACAGGACACAAATTCGCTTATCGTACAACTGAGAAACAAAAGCAACATCTTTCACAAGATGTATGAAATGTACAAGTCATTCGACTACTCGGAGTTGGATAACACGAGCTACTTCTATGAGCAACTCGTGAACTATTACGATCAAAAAGTGGACAAGAACAATTTCCCTTTGTTGTCATCATTCCTCAACTTTAACATGAAGCTGCCTGAACCCATCTTCAAGAATGAACAGTACAGACATCGTATCAAGGTGTTCGTGGGTCTCAGACCGAAAATGTATTGTCTTGTCGATGAGAAGCATGTGATACACAATGCCACAAAGGGAGTTCCTCGCAATGTCATAATCGATAGTGAGAGAATGTGTGCGAAGAACATCGAATTGTACAAGCATGTCCTTGAGGTTGAGAAGAAGGGAGATACAATCATTGAGCACAGCTTCAAACGCATCAACAACTAAGGATTCGATATTACCAACAAGGAGCAAATTAAGATACTCATGATTAGCACGAACAATATAAAATGGATCTTCAATATAGCAACGTGCATACACTGGCCTTTGGTCATTACTGATTGAGAGACCTGTACTAACAAGAGAGAGATGAGAGATTTCATTCTAGGCAGTTTGGTCGGAATAGGACAGTTATGGAAGTAATGGTGGGGTTCCGATACTTGTTCTGGTTAATCCCTGAGAACCAATCAATCCTGGATGAGCCTTGGATAATATGGAGTAGCGCATGGCTTGCCTCTCTTCACCATAGATACAACTCACGCGCACAGGGGTAATGGGGTAACCAGGGAGAACCGAGGCGACGCAAAGACGCAAGACGACCGAGCGTTGTCGAAATCGGTCAAAATCGACCGATTTTGACGGCTATGGATCTTTATGGATAAATCATATTTGGATTACGACTCACATTGCTAGTATTGAAATTGGCGATTGTTTTTTGGTGGTTTGTATATTTTTCATGCATATTAGTTTTGGTACACCCCTTCATCCATGTGGAGCGCTAAATTACTTATTTTTTCATTTTTTACATGAATCTTTTTTATTGTAGTAAAATTGGTCATTTGTAAGTGTTCAAAAATAACACAAAACTATTGGTGGTCGTCCGATCATTAACAATACATTATTGTTTTCGGTAATATCGTTTTAATGCCATTTTCGAGTATGTTCTATTCAGTACAAAAAGAATTCAAGAAAATTAGTATCCTCTGGTGAGCAATCCGCAGGTTTCCTTATATTTTTGTCACTTTACAACTTCATCTACTCTCACTATTTCCATTTTCTTTTCAATATCTTATTTCACTTCTCTTCTCTACTTCTATAACAAACAATAATACCTATATTATCCCTTGTATTTCAATATCTCTTTTGTAAAAAATCCCTCAATTGTTTCATCTTCTGTGCGGCCAACAAGTTTACATGACCCAAACAGAAAAGCTGATAGAGTGGAAGCAGAACCTATTTGTCCGGTTGATAGACCTTCTGATCTTTCTGCCAACAATTTACCATCTACTGGGTCTTCTGGTAATAAAGAGGCAATTCTGTTTCTGATTATCTCCTCGCGATCTTCAAGTGAAGGATATCCAACCTTATGGTTAACAATGCTCATCAAATCTACATAAATATGAGTCCCGAATCGGCCTGGTCTGATGATTGCTTCATCGAGCTTTTCGATTGAATTGGTAATACCGATTACTACCATTCTCGAATTTGAAATCTCCACTCCATCTAATTCGGTTAACAATGTGGTTATGATTCGTTCATTCAAACCTCCATCGGATTCGCCTCCATTCAGACTTCGTTTACCAACAATCCCATCCAGACCATCAAAAACAATCGCTGAAGGTGAAACGGTTCTTGCAAATGCAAATATCTGCCGTATCTTCGATTCTGTTTCCGAAAAATAGCGACTCAATAATGCTGTTGAATCCACGTATATGTATCTCAACTTCAATTCATGGAACACTCTGTCAATCAAAGTGTTCTTACCGCATTTTGGTGGGCCATAGATCAGAATATGATCGATAGGTCGATTTGAAAAGTTCTATTCGATTATCATCATCATATATTGCATCCATTGTGAGACTTACCTTATTTTGGACTGGATCCATTGCGAAGGATATGATATCCTTCAATTGCTTTGCTTCTCGTTTATATCCACCCATACAATCTTGGCCAACTGTCGGATCTATCTATTATTATTATCATCTCCTGAGCTACATTGAATAGAGAAACCAATATAGGATCTAGGACGAAATCTTCGAAGCACATCAACAATGTTGTCTTCACAGAGTGGACATTTTGAAGCTTTTATCAAAAGTTCTTTGAGCAGGTTTTGGATATCTTTATACGAATAACCGGATGTTAGTTGAATCAGTTTATCAACGGACATAGAAGGAAGTTCGATTGCCTCCTAATGTTGAGTGTCTCAAACTATGAATACCAGCAGTTCTCTGCGTTCTTCCTCTGATGGAAACTTTAACATTACAATATCCCTAAAATAATCGTTCTTTTTATACAATTCAGGGACAGAGGATATACGAGAAACACTTGCTACCAAAATAATGTGTCTTGACAAAGCTTCTGAGTACAACCTATTATTGAGAAACATGCGGCTCCTATTCATACTTCAGGGAATCACTATCCCAACGTGCATCATCTATACACACCACACGATACTTTCTAGTCATCAGCACTTCCATGCATTAATCCTACTTCCATTCTAATGAAGGCAAGTTATTCGATGATACATACACAGCTGAATCAGGGGATAAACGGTTTAATTCATCCACGATATTGTGTAGAATGGTTGTTTTTCCGCTTCCAGTACCTCCACAAACAATGACTCCGTTTGTGAAGAGCAATTTGCTACTGACTGATTTCATATTAAGTGTGTATTTGATGGAGAGCAGAATATTGCTTGCTTGTTTCAATTGTGCGGCATGACTAGGAACCCTTTCTTCATTTTTCAAATCCAGTAATATTTTTGTTTCCTCAGATAATATTCCTTGGTCAGGAGAACAATCTGTCACATCTGCTTGTAGCACACTACGTAGACAAGAAAGCAAAATGCGTGAGGTTGATGTGATTGCTTTATTTGCATGGTACATTCGTAGGATGCCGGTGACTACTGTTTCATGTAATTGCACATCTGATAGATCCTTGAAACAAGAAACGGACAGTGTTACTGATTGAAGCACTGGTAGTGGAGGAATCTCTTCAATATGAATCTTGTCTCCTAGTTTTAAATCAAGACTCTTCATCAAAATCGGAGACATCAAAATCTACATCTTATTTTGTACATTTTAGTTCGAATACTGAATTATTTTCAATTTCGCAATCTGGAATCAAGGAAATCGATACCGTTCTTCCATTTGCACCAGCTAGTATTTACGCCAATAAGAATAACAGATACTTAATATATAATTTTTGGAATAGCGAATAGCATGTTTTTCAAAGTCTTCTAAGGAAATCTTCGAGTAATGCCACATTTTCACACCTACAATTCCAATTGTCATTGAACACGATGAGTTATGGAAGTAACAATAATAATCCATCCCGACTGTAAATATTGTATGTTTTTTGAGTAGCGTTACGTTGTAAGTTTGAAAATGCATATATTACGTTTCATAGTATTCGACTTACACTCCACAGAACTCAAACACGAACTCACTTATCTTATTTTTGCTTCCAACAAACAATCCATTAAAAAGATCTTTTATTCATCCACTTCACTGCTTAAATCTTCTTCTTGATACCAATTTCCAGTAGCTCAATCACTCCCTCCACTCCAGCAATCGCAGAATCCACCAACAACGCATCGCATCCAGGCAGGCAAATCTTCTCCACAGCCTTCAGCTCATCACGAAGCAGCTGGATTCGCTTCAGATAGTCGTGCTTTTCGATCTGCAGCGACAGCGTCGTGTTCCAGCTTCCAGCGCCTCCGAACTGGACCGATCCCGGGTTGCAGGTTTCGTCCTTCACTGTCCAGCTGTCGCGATGAGCCACGAACTTCAGGAACGGAGCATCGTTCATATTCACGTTCGATTCCTACACTTCAAATCATCCATTCTCCATCTACAGGGATCGAGGGACGATACACTCCCTGCTTCGCCTCCACGGTGCAGAAGTCCAGAAGAGGCCCCGCATAGGGAATCTATTCCGACGGTTCCTCCTTCAGATTCCGCAACGTCGCCATATATCCGGTGAGATTGTTCTGAATGAATGCGGCTGCTTTTCGTCCCAAAGCATACGCATAGTCGCAGTCGAACAGAGAAGGGAACGAGGTTCGAGCCTGATAACCGAGGAAGTGAGTCCAATAACCAAACAAGTGTCCGTTGTAGCTTCCCTCTTCCTTATGACGCTGCAGTTCCTTCTTCACCAAATCGCCGATCATGACTTCCGTCGAAATCGCATGCATTGAAAGATTCTAAACGATTTGGGACGATTGAAGTTTTTCTTTTGAATCAAAGCAGGTAATAAAGTCGTCGATTCGAACAGATCCAACATTCTTAGCGAGAGAACAGTGATACAACCCATTTCTATTCATACTGTGGAGAAAACCACGACATCAATTCCATTTCCTACTCCCTTCTTACCCTCTTTTTTCTTTTCTTTTCCTCTATCCGTGCGATCCTATTCGAATACCTCACTCCTTCCTTTTGTTAAACACTCTTCACAACACTATTTCCACGATCCCTCTGTTCATCGTCACCCTACTCACCACTTTCAACTCACTCTACCTTTGATATACCTTCACTCCCTAATCTATTTCCTCCAATCACGAATCATCTGCTTCTCATGATACTTGTTTGCAACCAACAATCAAATAGAGAGATGCCATATACGTTGCAAGTTCATCCGGAGAAAAATGTTCAGCAATGGACGGCGGATTCGCGTCCACGATTTCTCCTACAACATGAAATCGAGTAATCTGTGTAATCTTTGCAGCGACTCGCTTTCCTCTCAGAGACTCACACATTGGAAGCAGAACCTTTACATAGGCTTTCGTATGCCCCACCATGAATTCCCGACTTGTCTCGCTTCCAACCCATACTAATTCTACTTTGCCCAAAAAATGCTGATATGGATTCAATGATTTGAACCAAGCCGAACATTCCGAAGAACGCTCCTTCACGATCGAACTAGAAATATGCTTCATTCTCGCTGCAGGGGTACCGGGACGAGGGAAGAACTTGGAGATGTTCACGACTGGAAACTGGTATTTCTTCAATAGATCCATCGTCTGTTTGTGGTCTTCATCGGTCTCCGAAGCGAAGCCAATGATAATGTCTGTGGCGATCGTCAAACCGGGCACTTCTTTGAGCAAATAATCAACGATCGATGTGAACTGCTCCACAGTATACTGCCTCTGCATCGTGTTCAACACAGCGTTGCTGCCCGATTGCACGGGAATGTGAATAAAAGAAAAAACGTTCGGGTGGCGGAGAAACGCTGCAACTTCCTTCAGATGGCTCAGAACATAAGGCGGATTCGTCATTCCCAAGCGAACCATCGTGTTCTAAAAAGAAAGAAATTATGAAAAGCGATATATACGGATTGGTCAGGTATCACAGAGGGAATTTCTTTTAATAGGTCAGCGATTGAAAGCCCACGATCAATTCCATACGCTCCTGTGTCTTCGCTGCTCAGCCAAACTTCAAAAACATGCTCATCAAACGCCTAAATTCAACTTCGATCGATGTCTTACTGCTCGTAGACGGTTTATGATACTCTGCAAAGGATAAGACATCAACTTTCCGCGAGCATACTGTGTCTTACAGTATGTGCAATGCCCGAGACATCCTTCACTTATGGGAACGATTTCAATATGAGGATCACGACGAATTTTGGGCAGATCGAGCGGAGGGAGCTCTTTCAGAGAGAGCAGATGAATCGTATTTCCCTTCAGTGTTTCTTCGACAACTTCGACGATTCGGTGAATTTGCTTAACGCCTAATATCGACAAATCTCGTAACCAAGAAGCATCCGAATCAGCTACCGTTTAGGTGGCCGCAAAGCATTACCTTGAGGGACACAGCCAGCTACAACTACCATTTTGTTCTTTTCTTTCGCTTCTGTCACATAATTCCGAAAGACTATTTCGGAAGGATCTTTGACTGTGCAACTATTCAACACCCTATTCATTAAATAGAATACCGCAAGAATCATACCACAAAGAGGCTTCATCTCGGTTTTCGGCAAACTGGAACCCGTAGTCGGACAATATTCCCTACAATTCTTATACATGCCTATTTTCCTACTTTCATGTATTCCCCGTCCGCAAAATTGTGAGCACAACCAAAAGTGATAATCCACAACTTATATTTTTCTGGGATTATGCAGTCGCCTGCTACATCGATTTCTTGCAATTCTTCACAAACACTTTGATGAGTCTACAGGGTATGCTCACAATGAAAGAGAGGTACAATCCGGATTTGAGGAATCGGCTCTACCGTCTTCTCTAAATCTTCCACACAAATATCCTCAATATCACTCCCGAGATTATTCATTTTGTAGTAATCAAAAGTGTAGTATGGCATTAGAATTGCTTCTCATAGCAATACTATTACTGCCTTGCCGAATATATTGCCGAGACTTTGACTATGGTTTGATTTTGATTTCTTGGTTTATCATAGGTCATTCTGCTCGATCACCCGCCCTAAATTGTTTTGATGTTATTGGGATGAACAAAACCCTAGCGAAGGGTGCTTATTGGATTGGCAGCACGAAAGAGGAAGCAGTTATTGTAACCGATTGGGATCTTGGCTCAGGAGTAGACTTACTGCAAGCCATTGAACAATACCATCTGGCAGCTGTTTTACGCAACATCGAATTCTGCAAAGATTTCGAATCGGAAGAGCTATGTAGAATTGCTCAATTCCACAAATGGATTTGCTTACTTCAACGAAAGACCGATCAATTGTACGTTTTGTGAATTCAGCTCACTTTTAGCAATTACTGATGATAGCGCGGACGAGCTCTATGGTATCTTTATTCTTTTACGTGTACGATCTTAGGAATGTACCCATCGCAACAATTACCAAATTTCATCAATCAACTTTTAATCCTGAACGACAATGTGTGGGACGAAAATCGTTACTGGAAGGTTACCTTTTCAGACCCAGCGTTGTTAAAGAAGTTGCTTCAAAATCGCTTGGTTCCAGATGATCCTTCTGCCGAAGTGAAATGCTACCACTTAAAAGACGGGAGCTATTACCTCGTAGAAACCGAGCGGTATTCCTATCGAGGAGATTCCCTGTCGATAACAGAGAAAGGAATCGGAATTTATAGCTGTCTGAGAAATCCGGACAACATCAACACAAATGTGATCGATTTCTCGGATATGATTGATTCGAACTATCCGATCGATTATTCCAAGGCAGATCTCTTTCCCATGTATCCCAACCCATTTGTTGGTTGATTCATAGTCTTCTTTTCGGTGATATTTATTCGAGCGGAGCATATGATTCTCTCAGTTCCATTGCTGGTAAAACAAACCCTGAAGCTGTAAATCGTCTACGGCTGTATGTTTCTTATCAATGTGCGGATTTGTTTTCTTTCTTTTTACGATAGATACCTATTATACAAAAACAGTGTTTCGATCGCTCTATCCAAATTACACGCGTTGCGATGGATATCTTTGTGTCTGTGTCCCACGTCGAGCCATTATCGAAAGTGAACTCGAATTCCTAAAAACTGTGGGCATTAATGAATCCGTTTGCCAAGGACCAGGGTGTCAAGACTTGCCTGAATGTAAAAATCGGAAGGTGACTCCTGATTTTGAATGCGGTTTGTCGAATGATACTGTTACCTTTGAACCAATGCTGCTTGCAGATAATACTCCAAAGGTCACCGCCTCCCCTTATGAACATTTTCAGGAGTGGTTTCACAATTCGGAAGGATACAACACAATGAATGAGATCATGATGACTCGTATTCGCAGTACAGACTGTTCTTATTATGAATATATCAAGTTTGTTTTTTATTATCTTTTGGGTTATTGATAGTCCTGTTTTCTATCCGGTCCCAGATGAAACAGAATGTACAACACTGCGCGAGAGACAGTTAGGTGTTCATTGTTGGTTTACATTCCATTTTATGGAGATATTTCCTTATAACGAGGCTCTTAACGATTGGATCGAAGTCTCTGCTACGGATTCACTCATGCTCTACATTAATGGCAGACTGGAATGGAACTCGATGGGGTAATCCGTACAGAGGGTGGATTTATTGGTAGAGTTGGGAATTCTCAATCAAAAACGTTGCATATCAACGACCTGCTAGGGGAGGGGTATTCTGGAGAATACTACACCGTTCGTGTATATGGAGCATCCAGGTCATGTAACCTTTCTCCTGCTTTCTGTTCGAGTCTGGTGTGGAAGACAAGTGCTCAGAAAGCTCTTGACTATGAATCGACTCTGAATAACGTGCTCGTGATTTCCTCTACTAGCGATATTACGTCGACGCAAGTTAGCTGGGAAAACAGTACAGTGGCGATCTTTCAAAACGGAGGATCCTACACTGTAACAGTACCCCAGACAGATTTTTACCGTGTCGCATTTGACGTGTTAGGAGATAGCAGTGGATCTGGGAGCACTTCCGAATTGTGCATCTTTTTCAACGGTGTGCGTACTATGAATTCCATCCCTCTACGTTCGGATATGACATTTCAGGATGGATCGATTTCGGGTTCCTGCTCTCCTTTTGAAGGTTCTATCGGTATTCGTATTATGCCGTCAAGTAGTTATTCTTGTGAACGGATTTCATTGTAGGTGTCGCGCTCTTGTCTCCCAAAAACGGAGGAGAAGTGATTGATGTGTCGTCCTCAACGAATCTTTTGGATGGTGTCGTTCACCACGTTGAAGTCAATATCCACTTGTTGTATCACTATCTCACTCTATTTTTGGATAATCAGGATGTGCCTGTTTTTGCATTGGATGCAGTCCGGAATTCTTGCAGTGATGTGATATCTAGGCAGTTTCGAGAATTACGAATGTTCCCATCCAACTTGTTGTCAAGTCGTTCCACCCGGTAGTTTCCCTTCCATCTTCTTATGCTTAGACTCCAGTAACACTGTCCAATGCCTCCGTTGAGATGTATTTGCCTACCGCAAACGCATTTGCTCTGGATGTGTTTTCTCTTTACCAGCAAGAGGTGCGAGCAAACGAACATTTCTATTTTTCGATCTATCTGCAAAGCAACATCCACTATCGACTGACTCCCAGTGATTTTTTCAATAGCACTCAGCTGTTGATCAAGGGGCAAAGTAGTTCATGTTCGCCAGACTGAACAATAGACACAAATAACACCGTATTTTCGCTATGTACGGAGATATACAAACCCGAGGAGATGCAATCGACCTTCGAGTTTTGCTTTAAAACCACAGTTGCTGATTTCTACGACATTTCGGTCCTTGTAAATGGATCTCCGATCGCTTCCTCTCCCTGTTATGCCTGTGCTCATATCATACCACTCGGGGTGAACAGTGCGGAAGTACAAGATCTCCCGTCAGTGGTGGTTGCTGGAAGCGATGTTCATTTTGGGGTGGTTTTGTATGATATCTACAAGAATGTCATTTCTCCTTCTGCAGCAGTATCTGTGGAGTTCTATCCAAATCCCCACAAGTATATCATTGCTGATGATCCGAACCCGGATACGAACCGATATAACTTTGTGTTGAATGTCAACCACACGGAGACCTTTACCATTTCTCTTTACATTAACGGACACTTATTTGAAGGGCATAACTACACGATTGAAGTGATCGCCAGTACCCCTTCATCGAATTCTATTTTGTCGTTTGTTTCGAATGAGCTTCAGTTGGTGAAGAATCAAGAATTTGTTCTGGATGTGAAGCTGCAGAGTTCGCGTGGAGTCTCCGTTCCCGCCAATCAATATGCGATTGCGATCCGTCTAACAAACTCCTTGACACTTCACCCCTTTTATAACTTTGGCTATTCTTGCTACCTTCTGAGTCAGGAGGAAAATGGGTATGCGGAAATGATCTATCGATGTTTTGTCAAGATTCATGAGGCAATTAAGTGTGTGTTACGAGTGTATATCGGATCTCTTGATCCTTATTTAACAAAGACAGGAACAAATGTTGTGTTTTATCATGACGAATTGGATCGGGCAGCTATTCTCCAGGATTTGTCTTTGTCTGTGTTACGATTTACGAGAGAGGTTTCTGTGGGTTCTGCTATGCTAAACTGCACAAGCATGAGAGTGACTATATCCTTTGTTGTTGTTGTTGTTTTTGAGGAGGAGGAGGAGGAGGATAATGATGTTGTTGCTTTTGTTGCTATTGTTGATGATAATGATGATGATGATGATGTGCAAAAATATATACAATTTTGTGTGTATCAAGATGTATATGAAATCAAACCTGTACTATCATGCAAGTACTAGGATGTTTTATTACTTTGCATACAAATGTTTACAAAAATAGAAACCTCTTTTTCCTTTCACCTCTTTGAATACTTTTTCCCTTACCCAATTTGTAACTACTTTGTCTCATATACATTTTATTTGTCCTTTCACACTTGCATACCGAATTGTATATATTGACAATTGTTTTCCATCCTGTTATTTCCTTCATTTCCAATGGCCATCCATTATTCATGTTGGAGGCACGAATATACTCAAAGTACAGCTGTATGACCAATTCGAAAACCCCTATCACCTGAGAAACTCGGATACAGAATCGCTCACTGTCTCAATTAATAACAGAGAAGTTTCTGGCTTTTTCAGCATCGACGAAAGCTATGCAAATTACTTTACGCTTTTGCAACGCGGAGAGACGTTTGAAGGAATGATGGATATCCAGGTTGTCTGCCGAGACAACTTCTCTATTCAGCCCATCGAGATTTCTCGGTCGATAACTTTAGATCACTATTATTCTCTAAAGTAGGTCGTGCTGTCGATTCAGTCCTTATTTCTAGTCCAAATCGCACATTATCCACTCTGACTCCTTTAGAGAATCGGTACTCTCTCATGATTTGGCTGAGAGATTCTTTCAATGCCCCTATACCGCCAAACAATTATATGGCTGTATTCCAACACTTGCTACCCGAAAATCGCTCCGTTTCGTTTACCTATATGGGTGCGACTTCCAACTACTTCTCTTGTGAGTTTGAAGCTAGGGAAATCGGAGATCATCACATTTCCGTTGTAGTTAGGGACCAAAACAATCGATATTACTGGGTGTATGGCCATACACTAACCATCACGGAAGATAGTTCGGCTACGCTTCGTGTTTTTGGATCTGGAAGTGTTATGGTTAATAGAATACCATCTGCTAATCAATATGAAGGTATGTCCCATTAGACACAGTCAAATATAGGTATTTTCTATGCTGCGTATGTGGACCAAAACGATAATATTCTGGATACAGATCTTTCTCCCGATGAGATTACTTTGGCTGTCGAGAATGCAGTCCTTCTCAACGAGAACATTCATCAGAGTGGAAAGGGGTAATGCAGTCGCCATGATTCGGATCACATATAGAATCCAGATTCATTATGTCGTGAGCAGCGAGCACACAGCCTTCCGCCTTCTGGTGTGGAATGTCAAGTCCTTAGTGTTGAACAATACCATCCCTCTTTCACAGGAAGACTATTCGGATATTACGTTGGTACAACCTTTGGCACCTCTGACAGCTTGTTCCAATTCCATACTACTCAACACTCTGGTATTAAACGGATTCTATCTGCAGTTCCCCAGTGGCATGAGCGTTCTGCCTAGTAATATTGTGGTTGTGGGAAAGAACAGTCTTATCTCCTCAGGTGATTGGTACTTTCATCAATCAGATGATCGAATCTACTTTTACCCAACGTATACAAAAGCGGGATCGTATCTGATTGATATCTATGTATTCAACACACTTTTCAATACCGAAGAGATAACGACAATGATCGTATCTTCCCCTCTAGAAACTCCCCAATATTACTCCTGGGGCAGTGGCATTATCGGCGGAATGTCTGGAGAAACGCTCTCTTTTTATGTGGTAAAATACGACGCATATGGAAACGCAATGTATTATAGCTTGATTATCATTGTTATTGGTTAGACCATTTACCTCATTGAGTGTTTATCTTGTTATGGAAGAGCAGCTGATCTCCACACACCAAATCGTACTATCCAGCAACCTGATTCGAGTCACCTACCAAATCACAGAATTGCCAGACAATAAAAATCTTTGTTCTCTCACCCTTTCCATGTCAGATAGTACACATACAATTCCGATTTCCTTACCATTTGGCGAAATGTATGTTTATCCTGGGAATATTGCATGGGAAAATAGCCAAGTCTCGATCGTGAACTCGGTGGAGGCAGGCAAAATAGTCGTATTCTCTTTCATTCCACACGACTCCTCGAATAATCAAATTGACTTCAAACAGATCGACCCATACATGGATCTGCAGCGTTGGTTTCCAAGGGTTGTCTGATTTTGTAGTGACTTACGTGAATTCAACAAGCAGTGGCCACTTCGTTCTCTTTTCTGTGGACGATAGTTCTTCTGCGATTCAGTGTATATTTGCGGTGATAGAAGAGGGCTTGTATAACGTTACTTTCAGTGTGACGGAAGCTTCTTCTTACAGCCATATCCTCGAAGTCACTGTGTCCTCTTTTGACGAAGCCACAAGTTTGATTGATTTGTCCTTCTCTTCATCGACCATGCCTCTACTGATAGATCAGCAAATCACCCCTGAGATGCATATCGATGGAGTGACTCTAACCAATCAAGCTCGAGTGGACACATATCCCTTTGTGGTTGTGAGCAATGTCGAATTCGCATTCTACTTACATCTCTATGATATATCCTTGGTTGTGCTCATCCAGGCTCACCTTAACGGCAGATTTGGGGAAACTTCATCACCGATTCTTCCAACATTTCAATTCTTCTTTACCGCAACGGAATCCTTGTATCGCCCGACAGTATCTCGCTTTTGATTAACCAGGATGGATACGTTATCATCTTTTTGACTGTTTCGTCTGCTGGAATATACAACTGTATGTTCTTCTACAAGAATAGCAGGTTTGTATGTCTTCGTTTGGCTTTGTTTATGGGATAGGGTGAAACGATTCAGTTTACTGTCATTCCAGAAGTCGACGACGGAATCGGGCTGTACAATGAAGAAGAGTACTGTCCGCAAGAAAAACTATCTTCGAGTGAGTTCAATACAGTAATCGAATTCGAGGAGGGGGAGGAGGAGGATGACTTGATGAAAAAGTCAACAGACCAAATTTGTGGCTATTTAGGTACTCGTAATCTCATGGAGACAAGCTTCGTATTGCAGTATGTCGTTTCATTCCATAATTTGTTAAATAATAATGGATTGATGGATGATGCAATCCCTGTGACTGTGGGATTTTTGTTTATTGTAGGCCAGACTGTAGGCGATGAAGTATAGAACGATTACCAGTATTATACTCGTCTTCCGTCCTCTGCTTGCGTGGTGAAGTCATTTACCTCCTATTTGGGCGAGTATCGATGGTTCTACGATCGTATGTCCGACCTTCAGCCACCAAGAAATATCCTTCGCATGCTGCTCTTTCAGAGAGTGCTCTTTAACGATCAGTCGGAGAATATGTCATCAATTTCTTCCGCAACAATATCAATCTGAATCGTAGTCCCGCGATGATTGCAACATTGCTGCCGGGACAGCTAAGCATTTCGGAATCGCAGTGTTTCTTTTATGGATGCAGGGCGCAGAATTCCTTCTGCCGCGTTTCTTGCTTTCTCAGGTCGATCAATGGCTACTCGTTGGATCAGGCTGATGACCATTTGTCCTTGATCCTATCCATCACGTCGGCTCACAATCTACGCTATCCTCAGCATATCGAGCAAAGTCTTACCATGACAAATCACTGGAACGGGACTTTTTCTATTGACGTGCAGATCGTCTGGGCAGGCGATATCACTCTGCGCATCAGAGATGATACTTCGCAACAGTATTTTATGGACCAGTTTACTGTCCATATCCCCCTCCTGCCTCTAGACTATTCAAAGAGCTACCTGATGTCGAATCTTGCTGGATCCTATCAGGTGGGAGACGAAGTGGTTCTTGAAGTATTGCTAATGGATTCGAACGAAAATATCATTTGCAATCTACCCAATGAGTATATTTCGTTCCCGTATGAAGTGATCATGGAACTAGAGATGGAATCCGTAAGTGTTGCTCTTTCTTTCCAGTTTAGATTACCCACCAATTCTTGTTCTCGTTGGACCAAAGCTGTAGCAACTCCACACGTTTCCGGTTGTCTTATACTTTTGTACAATATTACAATGTCCATATTTCGATTCTAATTCGGGACACGATTCTTTCGACGCAAACCTCTCTTCTTTCCTCTGTTGCTGTTAGCGTCATTACTCCTGGATGCACCCAAGTCGAAGGCAAGCCTTATCAATGCTACCTACGGCCAACCTCCCAGCAGCTCGTAGACCGCCAATTTGAATATGAGTGTGCTGCGGACAGTAGTCAATGCAATCTGATCGGAACGGATCGTTGTTCGAGCAATGAGAGTTATTGTTGGGGATATGGAGAATACAGGCCATCTTGCACCAATGCTTTGAGCAATGAATTAGCATGCTCATGTATCCATTATTCGTGCATTACGGGGCAATGTTATCGTGAAAACGGATTGTATGGAATGCGATAGGGGAGTCATGTTGTAGTTGTCCGATTGATACCTATTGTTCCGAAGGCGAGTCGCTGTGTTTGGATAACCATTGCGTCAGCAACAGTTCTCTGTGTCCGAATACCGTTGCCTGCCCAACCTCGACGTTGCTATGCGGAGATCTAAAGCACTGCGGTATTTCTCTTGATGAGTGCAATGTATTTTCAACGCGGTCCTGTCCTCCCTTTGTTCCTTTGCTCTGCTGGGACGGAACGACCTGTGTGTACAACTACGACCAATGCCCCAATATGTCTCAATGTCCTCCAGGGAAGGTGCGCTGTGACAGTGGCGTTTGCAGAGATAATGTGGACGAGTGTATTGTGAAAGAGCCTTGCCCTGCTGATAAGCCGTTACGGTGCATTGATGGGTCCTGCTCATCCATGGTGGATGTGAGTTGCCAGAGCATTGTGACCTGCCCTCCTCACTTCACCCTCACGACCGATCACCGATGTATTCCTGATTCACTCCGCGAGTCGTCCCTGGTGAGCAGCTCGGGCACGTGCCCCTCATTCATGGTGAATTGTCCGGATGGCTCGTGCGCTCTTACCGAATTCTTGTGTGAAAAGGCCACCGTCTGTCCGTATGGATTCGTTCTGTGTCCTGATGGGTCTTGCAGAGCGCATGAGATGATGTGTCCATCAGATAAGGACTATTGCTTGCCTCCGATGATCCAATGCCCCACCAAAGAATGTGTGAAGCGCCCTGAGGATTGCTCGCAGGGCATCGTGTGTCCTCCCGACCGCCCTGTGCTATGCTATGATCGTTTCTGCTATGCTTCGATGCGAGAATGTCTCTCTGTAATGATGGGCGATGCTGTGCTCTATTTCAATGCGTCCAAGCCTCCCCAGTTCTTCGATCGTAACACGTTGGCAAGTAACGACTCGGGCATGATTGTGGATCCCGCGATTTTGGAGCTCAGCATGACTTGCCCTTACGCTTATCCATATTACTGCAAGAGTACTACCCAGTGTGTAGCCTCCATGGATGCGTGTCCGCATTATCCTCCCTGCCCTTCTTCTTATCCCTATCGATGCTTTGATGGACGATGCGTAGCTTCGGAGATTTCGTGTCCCAGCTTCAATGAGTTCACGAATGTCACGCGATGTCCTCACAGCTGGGTCTATTGTCGCACAATGCACAAGTGCGTGAAGAACATGCGTCAATGTCCGATTCTTCGTGTGTGTGCCTCGAACGAGTTCCTCTGCAGTGATGGCTCCTGTGTCTCTATTATTGGCTCTCTTCTGCCTCGTCCGCAGTTTATTTCTGAAACGAATGTGGTTGGGAATCTGTGGTACACCTTCTTTTCGCGATACGATCTTTACTCCTATATGAATTCCATGATTACAACACTCGTAGAGCAATGCGTTTTTGAAGGAAAATGGGAATTGGCCTGGGGGCAGAATAAGAATGATATCAGGGATGTTCTCTTCTTGCAAGATGTCACGACCAGCATCCAGCAGCGCTGTGAAAAACAGTATAATCGATATCCCTGCACGGAACCATCGATTGAGTCTATTCTGGTGAATCAATGTTCATCTGATCAAAAGCGGTGCATTGATGGTCGTTGTGTGGGACTGAATGAAGCGTGCCCGTCTGTCACGATCTGCCCACGCGATCGACCCATTCGCTGCATGAACAACCAATGCGTATTCTCTCCAAGCCAATGTGAAAAGGAAACTCAATGTCCTGGCAATACAGTTCTGTGTGAAGATGGGTCTTGTGCATCATCACCCAACCTTTGCTCATCCATTCATTGTCCTGTGGACCTTCCTATTTTGTGTTGGGACCAAAGCTGTCGTCGCATTCCTGAGGATTGTCCCAAGATGCAAAGTTGTAGCGATGGCTTGTTCTTCTGCAGCATCACTGGAAGATGTGTATATGACCGAACAACCTGTTCATCAAGTACTCTCCTGCATTTTGACTTTGACATAGATTCGCTAAACGTCACAGATGAAAATCGCTCCGCTTTCGACTTTTGCTTTGGGAAGTATTTATGCGAAGACGGATCGTGTCGTGAGTCTCCGTTCGATTGTCCAGAGTTACAGTGTCCATTCACAGCTCCCCATCGTTGTAACAATGGCTTGTGTGTGCACTATGAATGGGAATGTCCCGAAATGATAGGAACGTCGCCTACAGAGAGTAGTTTATACCTATGTTCCGATCAGTCCATTGTGACCAATCCAAAGGACTGCCCCTTATCCTACTATTGTCCGGCTCCCTATCATCGATGTCAAAACGGTTTGTGTGTGCTTTCACTGTCACTCTGCCCGGTGACCGCCACGCTTATCGAGGGTGCGGAAGCCTTGAACTCGAACCATCCTTCCTTACAATTCCTGAAAGAGAGTGTGAATGACTTTATAACAAACGAGTTTATTGCGAATGGAAACTCTACTTGTACCCACTCTGCACCATTCTTGTGTGCAACGGGCGAATGTGTCACCTCCTATTCGTACTGTCCAGCCATTCGTCCTTGCTCTTCTGTGTATCTGAAGAATGGAGACTATCGTTGTCCGGACCGTAGCTGTATCACAGACACGCATTTCTGTTTCAACATAACTGCGTGCCCTTCTTCTCTGCCTGTAATGTGCTTATCCGGACCCTACAGCGGAATGTGTGTAAGTGATGAAGGGCAGTGTTTGGGTGAGAATGGCTGCCCATTGTCCTCGCCGTACCGTTGCCTGAATGGGCAATGCGCCACTTCCCAAACAGCTTGCATGGTTGTTTCTTCGTCCAATGGTTGCCCTGCATCCACTCCTGTTCGATGCAACAATCATCAGTGTGTTGCTTCGATTCTGGATTGTCCTCTTGTGAATGGTTGTTCTCCGGCTACTCCTTTCAAATCACGGAGTGGAAATTGCTGTGCTTCTCCCGAAAACGACCCCTTGTTCCAAAACAACACAAAAACAGCATCCTGCTCTTCTGCAACGCCTACTCGATGCTGGGATGGAACGTGTGTTGTGTCTCCTGGATATTGTTCTTCCATCTCTGGTTGTTCTCTCTCAAATCCGATTCGTTGTGCATCCGGGGAATGCGGAACTTACCCACACCAGTATGCTATGGAGCCGTTTATTGGATCGATTTCTGGAAGTTGGATCGATGAAAAGATCTACGATCAGATCATGAATGACGTTTGTCAACCCACTCCTGTTTGTCCTCCTGATCTCCCCTATCTTTGCTCAGACATGTCCTGTGTCTCTGATTATTCCATGTGCAGACCTTGTAAGCACTGCAAGAGGGGAAATCGTGATTGGTCTCTCTGCCCAAGTTCGCGTCCAATCTATTGTGAAGACGGTTCGTGCGTGTCCAATCAGGGAGACTGCCGAAATTTCAGAAAGTGTCCAGCTAGTGAACCCTACGAGTGTTTCAATGGACGATGTGCAAGATCGCCCTTGTTCTGCTTGTATCATTCTCTTACCGATATGGAGCTTGTATATGTCTCAATTCCATCGGAGTATTCGATTTCGCTCTCCCCACCTCGCTCTTTGGGTGAAATGATTGCCGATTTTTTCTTCTGGTGGCGTGAGGAAGAGAGCAACGAGCAATCAAGTCCCTATTCTTTTGCTATGTGTTCCAATGGAATGTTCCAAGACGCAGAGTATTGCTCCCTCATTCCTCCTTGTCCTTCTCACAATTCGAAGCGGTGCTATTCCGGTGAATGTGTACCGTTGGATACGCCTTGTAGCAATAATCTCTTTGTGACCTTCCAAGACTATATGGATGTGGTTCCATTGTCCGCCTACATTCGACCCTATTATTCTGTCTCAAGTCATGATGAAGTTCGTCCAGTGTGTCTATTTGGACAGCTCTGCCCAGATGGATTGTGCAGACCCTCATGTCAGGAAACGATTGGATGTGGTCTCAATCGAGTCATGTGTCCGGATGGGTTGTGCGTGGATCTAATTCCTGGGCATAATGAAACAGAGCTATGTTTGGGGCATGGAAATTGTGATGACGACAAAGTTCGCTGTTACTATGGCAGTTGCATGGATTCTCTCAGCGACTGCAGCGAATATCATTTCACGAATTTCATTGCGACTGAAGCGTTAATCCATGTAACGATGCAGGACGTATCCAATGTATTGCTGTATACGACGAATCATGACTTGTATGGTGAGCTGGAGATTGATGCCAAGCAATATCTCTACACCAACAAACCCTTCTTTGTCCAGATTACGCCGATTTCGGCGGAAGATTTGTCTCAACAGAAGGTCGTGATTGCAAGGGAAGAACGCGCCAAGGAGCTGCATCTGAACTCCATTGAGAGCGCTGTTCTGTTCTCCATGTCGCCTGCCATCCACATTCGCTTCATCTCGATCGACAACACCACGAAGATTACTCAGTTGGTGTATCCGATGCGGCTTTCTCTCTGGACAAAGAGTGTTGTGCGGTATTTGCCGGCAGTTGTATATGACAACTCGATTTATTATGATCCATTGGACGTACAGAAAAGCGAAATTTGCCCTGCTGTGTGCATTGGCGATACTTGGAGTTGCATGAATGAAAATGATTATGTTATTGAGGACGGGATGTATTTGATTCGTGTCGAAAACGAGATGGATATCATGCTAATGGTGAGTCCCAAAGAACCGATGAACACACAAGAGACAGAAATGGGAACAGTGGTAGAAGTGTTCACTGAATACCTAATCAAGTCGCTGATGATCACTCTTCCCATCATTTTTATTCTGCTGATTGCGATGGTATTTAGTTTGCGATGGCGATTGAAGTGGGAACTCTCAAAGGAGAGCTACAAAACGTCTCGAATCCGAACCGACAAGGAAGCTGTGTTATTAAAGGAATCGTCCCATACAGGCGATTGGCTGCAAATTGAAAGAGATGTAAAGGGTCAGAGCAATACAAACCCGTTGGCTATGCGACGAATTATGAAGAATATGTTTAATAGCCAGGTAACTGAAGCCCAAGAGATAGCGAAGCATAACGAAGAGATCATTGCCGAGTTGACGGAAGAAAAGAAAGCGATTATGGTAGGTACTCTGTTTTGGAATGAATGTGTAGAAGGAGATTGAAGAACTGAATGTACAATAAGGAGAGTAATTGCTGATATATGTTATTGAACCCATGTGTTTGTTGGTACTCGAAAATGGAATGAGTCGTTTCTCTCTCTCTCTCTAAGACAATGTAGGTGGAATCGAAATATGAATTGGATCAAGGGAAATCACAATTAGGCATATGCAATAGACTGCTATTGTTTATGTGTGTGATGAATGAGAAGGGTTATAATGAAAAGGAGGAAAGTGAGGGTGTAAAGAGCAACGAAATGATGAAAGAGATGGTACATTTGGTTGAATATTGGATCCAATGAATCGTGAATTCCATACTACTCTGTGTAGATAGAGATAATGGTTGAACAACTTTTCATCCATATTGGTCATAATGCGCAAATCACATTGAACTGGATTTATTCATACGTTGTTGTTGTTGTTGTTGTTGTTGTTGTTGTCATCCCATACAGTCATTCACCCATCACACAAGTTCCACTCACCCATCACCCCAAACCCTATCTCAATGACAAATCCTCACTTCAACTTCCACGATCCTAAAGCACTTTCTTATTCTCCTAGCATACCTTCACTTATCAAACCCGTCTTTAACAAACATCACATACAAAACCTCTTATTTCTTCTCCAAAATCGACTTCAATGCAGAGGTAGAAGACGAGTTCCTACCCATCACCCCTCTTCCCTTTTCCTACGGTTTGTACCAACTTAACGGACCCGTATTCTGTCCTTCCGCGATCGGAGTCACCAGCTTGGGCAGCAATGGATTCACCGGAGCTGGCGCCTCCTCCACAGGAGCCGGCGCTTCTTCCACAGGAGCCGGCGCCTCCTCTTCCGGCTCTTCAATCATATCGTCCGGAATCAACCCGCGCTTTCGGAGAAGATTCATCGCGCGCTTGCGAGCCTCCACCGCGGCCTGCTCGCACTGCTTGTGAACGTTATTTGGATCGTCCTCCGCAGCCTGGGCAGGGTCTTGCGTGGCTGGATCGGCTGGAGGAGCCTGATTCTCAGTAGTAGAGTCAGCTGTATCTAAGATCAGAATGACGAAGTTGTGCGTACTTGATATGGCGTCTTCGATCACTTTAGACTCGCGTTGGTTACGGTTTTCGGCACGGGAGCGAGAATGCGACGTGGCACGAGAGCGAGAATGCGATCGAGAACGAGATCGGGAACGACTTCTTCTTCACCTGACTGGGTGACCAAAAATATACCTGCTCGAGTGGTGACGTCTACTGCTGTGATAACTTCGACTGCGAGAACGAGACCGACTATCTCGATGTCTATCAAATAACTTCAGTATCCGATTTAAGTATTACCTTCTCTCACGAGAACGATCCCGTCGATGATCTCTACAAAGTCAAAAGGCAACAACGACCAAACCGTTCGTATATACTTGAACCAGAAAACTTGGATTTCTTTGTTTCAGAATAGTAATATTTCTTACTCGTTTGCGGTCCATTTGGTTAGATCGAGATCCATCGCGTCTATCGTCCCGATTATTATTCAGTTCACCTTCCTCATAGTCACCAGGCATGATATGACAATATTCTGGACTTAATATGAATAATAGGTAAAAAAACGCTTTCCATACAATTCCAGTTTTCACTTTCTCAATTGAAAAAAGTCATCATGCATTGCTCAAGATTATTCTTGTCACTCTTGCTACCTATATTTTATATTTTATATTTGGGGTACTGGTGAAATGTGTATCTCATGAGATAGCTATGTACTATCTGGTAATAAACGGCTACCTATTTTTGTAACTGAACTAGGGAATTCGTTTCGTGTAATAACTCTGAATTTTGAAAAATCGACTTCTCTACGTATTTCTCCTATTTCGCAATAATGTATAGCTTTAGTTACTGGAAAAAAGCAGGATGTTGCTTCTGTTTCGAAAAAAACAATGCACTCCTATTCTCAATATCTTAGAAATGTTTTTCCTTTTCACAGGCTCAGCAAATGGCCAAAAATTGGCTATGAATACCCGATATTAATAAGTAGACTTGAGTCTGATAAGTATCCTGTGTTTCAGTACAAGTCAAACTGGGAACAAACTTTTGATACGATACGTGGTGATATGATAAAAAACAATACATGGTAAGCTACTTTGAATCTCTTTCAATTAGGACGGATCCTCCATTTTACGATTTGAACTACAAGCCGTAACTCTTTATTATTATTATCAGTCCCTAATACATAGTGACGATGGATATACCTACTATTATCAAAGCAAGCATCCAGAAGCAGGCTACAATTTTGTCTACGCGAAAAACTTGTGTTACAACTTTAAGAAAAAGCTATACTTCGTGTTAAAAAGAGCGAATTCTCGCCAACTTCCCATCAGCCGGGACGTATCTTTCCGCTATGGGTGGAAAATTGCATCCCTGTACAAATCTCTCTCCGACATGGATGCAATCATCATCGAGAAAGAAAGCGTCATAACCCAGCCCTTTACGCTTCATCACATTTACCATTTCGTCGAAAGCATCAACTTTTTGTGGACAAAGCTCCTCTTTGTGAACGATTTCCCCGTGGTTTCGGTCCTTTCCGATTCTCAACGCTAGATGCGGCAGCTTTGGCTCCCCACCTTCAACAATGAAACCGATTATCCATGGGCGACCGATTTTATCACGGTGCTGCGTCACGTCTTCGGCCCTGGCTACAATTTGGAGGTGGTCGACAAGCCGACGATCAAATCGATGGTTGATGAAACGAAAAAAAACACCATTTGCTTCAAGAGAGTGGTAATGGAGGATAGGCGATGCGACGTAGACTCTCCTCGATCGCTCGCATTACAATGGCGATGGCGGCTCCATCAGCGGCTGGGTCCCTGCCGACCTGCTTCGCGCAGCGTTCTATAAGTTCGCGGGCGTACAGCTGAAGACTCTTCACAAATCGGACGTCTTCCAGATGCATATATTGCAGCGAAAGGGCAATCGACGCTTCCACGACCCCGTGAAAATGGTAACGCAGCTCAATTCGTGGTTTAAAGGGCGCTTGCATGCCGAAATTTCCGAAAAGAGCTGTTCGATGTCGTGCCAAATCCGCATCTTCTTTGAAGCAGATATTTTGTTAACGCCTCATGGAGCCGGAGCGACGAATATGATTTTCATGAGGCCGCGAACTGTGTTTATTGAAGCATTCCCGCCCTATTTCCTGGAGTGCATGTTTATGAATCTGGCGAATATTGTGCGAGTTCATTACTTATCGATTGCTGTGTACAATGAAACGTTCCTTGCGAAAAAAGTTCAACCTGGAGATGGTGAAAAGCATTATGAGCTTGGTATTATTATGCGGACCCGCAGGCGTTTTATCAATGCACGTGTTGCCCCAAGTCCTTCAGCGGTATTTCCCGCTGTGGACAATGCGATTGAATATCTGAATTCGTATAGATACAAGAGAGATGTGTTTGAGAATAACTTTTTGTTTTCGATTGTTTGTTGGGAGAAACAAGAGATTGATATGGGGTGTGGTTTAGTGCGTGTTATTGTTTATGTTCAGGAGGATGCGAATCTTTCTTTGGGAGAAGTTTTTCCTTATGCTTTGTGTGGTGTTCTTTTTCCTTCTTCTTCTTCTTCTTCGCAGGGTGTTCTTTTTCCTCCTCCTCCTTCTTCTTTACAAGATGCTCTTTTTTCCCCTCCTCCTTCTTCTTCACACAGCGCTTTTCCTTCTTTTCCTTGTGCTTTTCCTTTTTTAGCTTTGAATCCGATTTTTCTTTATGATTTGACTTTAAATTCTTCTCCTTCGACTTGGCATTCCCATTTTCCCTATCGGTCTCCTTTAAATCATGCTCAGAACTCTTCTTTTTCGAAAGAGCATCCCGTTTTTTACTCTTTTTCACCTTTTCATCGCTCTTCCTCTCTAATTGCATCACTCTTTCCTCTTTTTCAACAACGGATGTACCAACCTCTGTATTTACGTTCTGGTCGTCCAAATAAAATGAAGGAACATTGAGTTTCAGCTCACCCTCTGTATTCAAATATTCCCTCGATTCCGGAGAAACTAAACTCTCAAACCATATGAAATAGAGTACGCGGGCGGATTACCGGCACATCCTGCTTTGATACCCAAGCCTGGCAAAACTGCGCCACATCTATCAGATTACCATCCCAACCCACTCTTTACTGATTGAGAGATCCATCGGCAGCAAAGCACCCCAAACGCAATCGATTGTTTGTAACAAACACGCAAAGCATGCTCACTCGTCCAACGACAATGATAGAACTGGCCTCTCGGCTGATCCACACGCTCGTACGTGTGCGATCCAAAGAAATCGCGCTGTGCCTGGATCATGTTCGTCGGCAATCTCTGCGACCGGAAGCTATCGAAGTACTGCAAACTCGCCGTCAGCGCCGGAATCGACACGCCGCTCGCCGCTGCCAGCGTCACGATGCGTCTCCACGCCTGCTGTCGCTTCACTAACTGATCTGCGAACGCAGGATCGAGGAGCAGATTCTCCAAACCGGCGTCCTGCGCGAACGCCCCGCGGATTTTATCGAGAATCTTCGCGCGAATGATGCAGCCGCCCTTCCAGATCCGCGCGCATTCGCCCAGATTGATGCCCCAATTGAACGTCAGCGACGCCTGGCGGATGATCTCCAGGCCCTGCGCGTACGCCACGATCTTCGAGCAGAACAGCGCGTCCTTCAGATCCGACACCAGCTGCGTGCGATCCACGGTTCCCCAGTCGAACGCGGGACCCGGCAGCAGCGACGCCGCGCGCATTCGCATGTCCTTCTCGCCCGAAATGTAGCGTTCGAACAGCGCAGAGGAGATCGTCGGCGCCGACACGCCGCGCTCTGCGGCTTCCTTGACGGTCATCATGCCGGTTCCTTTGCTTCCAGCAACGTCCAGAATGCGGTCAATCAGATAGCCCTCGCCCACCAGCTCGTCCGGCTTCGCCAAAATCAGACTCGTGATCTCGATCAAGTAGCTCTCCAGCTCGCTCTTGTTCCAGTCCGCGAAGATCGAACTCATCTCCGGGTTGCTGAAGCCCGCCGATTTCAAGAGATGATACACCTCCGCGATCAGCTCCATATCGCCGTATTCGATTCCGTTGTGCACCATTTTCACATAGTTGCCAGAGCCCGCGCCACCGATGTACGTTACGCAGGCTTCGTTGTCGACTTGAGCGGCGATTTTGGTCAAAATATTCTCCAAGGCTTCGTAGGCGCTCTTACGACCGCCAGGCATCAGCGAGGGACCGTGACGGGCACCGATCTCGCCTCCAGACACACCCATGGACACGAAGAGAATGCCCTTCTCCTCGAGGTTGCGAGTTCGCTGGATGCTCTTCTCGTACCACTCGTTACCGCCATCAATGAGGATGTCGCCAGGCTCCAGGTAGGGAACGAGGCTTTCGATGGTTTTATCCACGGGAGCGCCCGCCTTCACCAACATGATGATCTTGCGAGGTCGGATCAGCGATTCACAAAATTCTTTCGGCTACAAATCATGCAGGAAATCAAAAACGCACAGTCTGAGACCCAAAAACCTTATCTCCCAGATTTTCTTCTTTGGCTCTTGTTTCGCACTCTTGCACCTACGTCCTATTCAATCCCTAATTCTTACTCTCTCAGGAGAACGGTTTGATACTGCTACATTAAAGCCCTTGGAAGCAATGTTCAGAGCAAGATTGCTTCCCATGACGCTTAGTCCATATACACCAATATCACACGACATATTGTGAGTGTTTAAACTGTTTGATATACTGCTATATAAATATAAAAATATTATGAGCGATATTAGGTGAAGCTTTTCAAGTCATAAGTATCCAAATGAATCTTTGTTTACCCATCCAAATCTACCTTTCCAACGATCACTCACTCCACACTTAGTCAACAAACACACAACTAAACATTTAACCCAGAATACTACGCATGGAGATCTGCATCATCAGCTTCTGGTTGTACTCCTTCAGCCGTTCCTCGCTTTCCTTCACCAGGGTCTCCTTCTCCTTCTCCTCCGACTCCTTGACCACCTCTTGGTACATCTGCTCATACTTGCACGCGTCGGACCACTTCATCATCAATCTACATTCCATCGCATCCCCCGTCCACTCCCTACGCAGAGCACTGCGCCAGTCCCTTCACACACTGCACATAGAGCGGGTGCTTCTTCTCCAGTCTGTCCACGGCGATGGCGAGGCAGTCGATGGCCTTCTGATAGGACACGAGCTCTTCGTACTGCAGACCCAGATTCGCGTAGACTTCCCCGATTTCCTCCGAGCCGTCGCCGCACGCCATCACGTAGATGTCCAGACACGCCTTCGCGTGCAGAATCGACTCATTGCGCGCTCCCGCGTGGCCCAGAGCGTCGGAAAGCTGGCTGTGGCAGATGGCGGCCTCGATGCTGTCCGCACCATAGGCGCGCTGCGTGTATTTCAGCGCCAGTCGGTTGTATTTGACCGCGTTGACGTAGTCCTTCAGCATGAAGAGGATCGAGGCCATCATGTTCAGCGCGCGGATCGCCACGGGATGCAGCTTCTGGCACAGCGTGGCCGTGTTCAGAACGAGCTGGCGGCTCTGCAGGAACGCTTCGGAGAGGAAGCCTTGCTGCAGATACACCGCGCTCTGCTGCAGCGACTGCACCAATTCGTTGCTCAGCAGCGAGTTGAATCCGCACTTCACGTGGGGCACGAACGACAGCACGTCTTCAGGCGCCAGAACACACGACGCGCTCATATCGTACACGCGGCTGCTCACGCAGATGCCCATCAAGGAGCACACGCGGCGCAGCAGCTTCACGCGCTCGCTCTCCGTGGGCTCGAAGCCGCTCGTCGGCTCCGCGCCCCACAGCTTCAGCGAGTAGAGGAACTTCGCGTCCACCAGCTTCCAAACCTGATCCCACACGCCCGCAGGCGTCACCGCGTTCACAGCCAGCTGCACCGCGATCGACTCGGGCACCTTCGAGCCGGACTTCGCCTTGCGGTTCTTGCGAATGCCCTCCAGACGGATCTCCGAATCGCGCTTGGAGGCCAGCAGCGCGTTCAAGAACGCGGCCACCACGTAGCCCGGCGCCGCTGCGAGGGTCTCGTCGGCCAGCAACACGGTGAGCATCTGCTTCGCGGCGCGCGCGACCATTTCCAGCTCGCAGGAACGCAGAATGTGCATGTCCTCCGCGTCCACCGCTTCCAGCGAGTCCTTGACGCAGAGCGTCGCCAGCTCGCCCAGATAGCGCAGGTTCACGCCCGAGGCGTGCATCAGCTGCACCAGCTTGCTGCTGTCCTGGTTGTTCAGCGCCATCTCGCGGAGCTGCGTGTGCAGCACGGGCAGCACCTGGCCCACCAAGAAGTTCGACAGCATGATCACGTTGTTCTCCAGCGTGGTGTCCGTCTCCTTGCCCTTCCCCGCGGACACCGTCGTGTACGAGAACGGCGTCAGCGCGTTCGGGTCGAACGCCGTGGGCAGGTTCTTCACGATCGTCTC